ACAACATTAGGGTTTCATATTTGTACTCACAATCCTTGTTAGTCCATCTTTCCAGTCCGTTCATTCTGACACAGCACTGGCGTGGTGTCTCTACGCAATGCTAGCGGACTGTCGCCCATGCTGCGCTAGCGGTTGACAAGCTTGATTGCTAGGTTGCTAGGGTTTGATTTAGTTATTGTTACCATTGCAATTGCTACCTTTATGTAATGCAACTTTTGCTAGTGAAATTCTTGCCAATTCTTTCCGTGAATGTGTGCGTAGAGAGAACACGAGCTAGCAACTAAGGAACGCTCACTCCTAGAACCCGTGCCTTTTCCGTAGTCCAGCTCCTGTGTAGAGTGACTCTCCGCAGAATATATAATGTAGGTGACATAGAAAGGGTTGTAAATAATCGCTAATTTTAATTGCCCCAAGGAATGAAATTGTCGAACCATGTCATATAGTTCTAGATAACATGTACTGAGGCACATCCTAAGGGGTACACAAATACTATCGAAACTCTTCTTCTACCCCTCCCCCTTTTGCCCTATTACCTACATAATAATTTTTATTCTAAGATAGTATCCGCAGTAGGTTGATTCCTAGCTTAAGAAAAAGCACCACGTCCAGCCCGTAATGCACCTCGCCTCGTTCGTAACGCACTTTGTCTCCGCCTCGTAGAGCGCACACCCTATCCTAGGCAAATGCGCGCGCAGCAGCTCCTGCACGCACCCGCATGCACATAGGCCGCCGAGCGCTGCTTCCCCCCCTCCCGTCCCGCGCCCTGACCTGCCACGCACACATAGCTGCAGCACGCATAGCCGTGCGAGAAGCCATCGGCACGCACATGCGCGAGTAGGCAGCAGCAGCCGCGACCGGGTGCGCCACCGTACGTACTCGAGCAGCAGCCGCCGCCTCGCATGTGGCAGCCACCTCCGCACATACAACAGCCACTGCCGCGCATGCACAACAGTTGTCTCTGCTTACCCTACCCACCCCGTCCCATTATGCGCCCAACCCTGCTGCCTGGGCACGCAGCCATGCGCAAGCCACCTCGCACAAGCTAAAGCTGTGGCAGCACTTGCACGAGCAGCTGCCCGTGCTCCTTGACAGGTCACTTCGTTCCCCACCGCACTAGATCATTCCTAACTGCACTCTACTGCATTGAACCCCTCCTAACCGCTGCCCACCGTGCTAGACCGCCCTCCACTGCACCCTTACGCACCCGGCCGCATCTTAACCGCTCTCCACCACTCTAGTCCGCACTTCACCTTTCCTGACCGCTTCCCAAACGCACTCGACCGCCCCCTACCGCACTAGTCCGCACCCTCCCTTCACCCGTACCAGCGACCTATCATACGCCTCCTACCATAGGCTTACCTCGCAGCGGCGGGCAGCCGCAGTTGCCTCTCCTACCGCGACCTAGGCTTCACCTCGAGTGGTTCTTATTGTCCTTAGGCTAGTCATTCTGGCCCCGTTCGTTACCTGCTTCGTCAATTTCTAAACTAGCCCTCAGGCTTCGATTTGTTCTTCGATTCGTTGTTCGCTTCAGCGGAGAGTCACTACACAACGGGAGTGGACTACGGAGGAGGGCACGGGGTTGTGCGAGTGATCGTAGTGTTGAGCTAGCGTTCTCACTACTTGCTGTGCTTACAGAAGAGTTTGGCAAGAGTTTCACTAAGGGAATTGTAAAGAACATTGAACATTAGACTACAAATGAGGCATGGAAGTCGATATGACTAGAGTGGCATTGCCACATCTAGCAATCCCCCTGCAGGACTAACTGTGCCAGTGCAGCAGAAGAGTGGCTTCTGCCAGCGCGGTGGAAGAGCAGCTTGCTAACGGAACAACAGAGCGGCCTGCTAGCATTGCACTACATGTGCGTTCTGCCAGCACTGCAGTCACAGGTGAATATCTATGCATAGGTACGCACATACTAAGTAGGCACAGGTCGATGGTTTCACCGTCAGGCACATTGTGCTGGTGCTAAGTAGAAATTGTGTCGACGCTTTTGTAGGTGAATTTCGCACTCCTCCGCAGAAGTTCGCAGTCTCGCGAACTTTGCCGACCAGTTTGCTGAGATGAGGCTCGCCAAACAGCGCCCTTCGACCAGATGGCGATACCGTCGAAAGGCTGTGCGTCGACCAGCTCGACTCTGCTCGGTCGAACAACGTTCCCCGAGACGAGCCCGACATGAGACGAGCTCTTCGTCCAATGTCGTCGATCAGCGCTCCTCGACGGGCCTCGTAGACCACTGCTCCTCGACCAGCACTGCTCGTCGATGATGTCGACCGGATTGTGTCGAGCAGAGCCTGCTCGACCGCAAACTTCGATACCTCCGTTGAACAGCAGAAGCCCACTCGACGACCTCTATGTCGAGAACTTCTTGTCGACAGCGTGATCGTCGGCGCCCAAGCGGGGGCAGGGCCTTGTTCTTCAACACTTCCCGGCCGCACTCACGTTTGGGCACCCCACACACTAGGTCTACCCAGAACCTAGAGGGATAGAATTTAAGGAGAAACTATGTTTGCGTGCACCCAACACATAGCACGCAGGTCACCGCACCAGCCGTGCAGAAGGGCACGGCACCTACTGCTGCACTTTGTCATCATCGTCGCCGATGTCGGCCAGACGCACTTGGCTGATTACGATGGAGCAGTGGTTGAAAGCCGGAAAATGCAATGCCTTTGTCAGAAAGTCGGTCGGCTTCTCGGTGGTCGGGACGTACTGCATAGCAATCTTCCTACGCTTCACCATCTGCTGCAGCCATGCGTAGCGTCGCTCCAAGCCCTCCGCGTCCGTGACGGCCGACTGCAGCACAGTTTGCTTCCCAGCTTCAAGAAGCTGGAACTCTTTGCAAGGAGGAAGCGAAGTCGATGCGCCGTGCCGTACTCCGACTTGGTCGATGAGAGTGTCGCGTGTTAACAGGAATGGAGTGTTGGCCCCGCCCTCGCTTAGGCAACGCCGACGACCTGGTCGGATGTACGGGAGAAACAACCGACTGTTCACTGTGAAACAGCTACTCGACAGGCTTCGTCAAGCTGCAGGGAATCACTGTGGTATTGCTGTTGACCAAGGAGTTCGACGACCTTCTTTTGCGGGGCAGGACGACAAAGTGTTCGTCGACCTGCAAAGATGTCTCACGGTGCTGGAGCCGTCGACCAGGGGCTCGAGAGCTGCAGTTGACTAGGCTGGTCGATGGGTGGGCCTTCGACCAGGAGGAGCAGTTCGACGAGGAGGCCGACGGAGCAGTCCGTCGACCTGACATGTGAACGACAGTCGACGAGAGGAGCTCGGCGACAGCAGCCGACAGTGCTAGTCGACGGAGGGGTCCGTCGACCTGGGTGTTGCTCGACGGGAGTTGTGGTCAACCAGAGGCACTTGGTGGTCGACCAGAGGCACCTGGTGGTCGACCAGAGGCCCTTGGTGGTCGACCAGAGGCACCTGGTGGTCGACCAGAGGCACCTGGTGGTCGACCAGAGCACCTGGTGGTGTCCAGGTCGACCAGGTAACTTGCTCGACGTGTTTTGCAGAGGCGCGCGAATGTCGTCGAGGTCGCAGTGACGAAGGTGACTTTGTGCTGGTATCCCGAAGTTGATGTGGCTCGTCAGGCGCAGACAACACCCAACGGATGCACAACGATGCAAGTCGGGCCAATCGTCTGCGCGCACCTGCGAGCGTGTGCAACGCTGGACAGCCGCCTTGCTGCAGCGTTGGCACACCGTCGACCTGCTGCTTGGCAGATCACCTTTCTGCTATGCTGGCGCGGCTCCTCTACGCAACGCTGGCAGGCGGTCGACCATGCAGTGCTGGCGGTCGACCAGACGAGCTGCAGAGTTGCTAGGTGCCTGATGTAGTCATTTCTGTCATTGTCATTGCGGTCATTCTGTAATCCAATCTTCGTCTAGTGAATCTCTTGCCGATTTCTCCCATGAAGGCGTAAGCACTAAGGAACTAAGCAAAGCTACGATCACTCCTAGTAGTTTGTGCCAACCCCCCCGTAATCTAGCTCACTACCTTGTAGAGTGAATCTCCGATAGAAGTCGATTTTTGCACCTACTAAGTCGTTCGTAGGCCGACAGCCGCGTTAGTTGCCATGGTCGACCCCGTAGCTGATGCGGGAGTAGCAGACACCTTGGAGGCACGCTTGGCTGATTCGTGGAAACGCACTGAGGATGGCGAGTACGGGAAGATCCCCTGGGCAATTGTCGAGTTGGGCATCCGGGCGCAGTGGGCGACGGAGCACCCTTCCCGTCCTGCATCTCCTCGACCGGTGCGAAACGAAGGTGGCGTCGACGACGAGGTCGACGGCGGTGCACGAGCTAGCGGCAATGACAAATGTGCGGCATCAAAAAAATGTGCGGAAGAAATCCGGCACTATTTGGGCGATTATGCAGGAGTAGTCAGGTGAACTCGGCCGGATTCCAAGCGCCTCGTAAATGGAGTGGCATATTGCCCGAAACCGTCCGTTTCCGTGCATGTTGCGAACTGCCAAGTATGGCCCTGCTTTGTGCAACAGTGTTCCCGTACATTGGGCTGTAAGCGGCGGAAGTTGAACTCTTTTGCGTGTTTGGGGCGGTTGAGTATCGAGCAGTTTAGGGGGTGTTCGGCGGTGCTGGTAGCGCTCAGGTTTAGGTGGGGAACGAGAGAAGCGGGGTGTGCTTGACAGTTTTTGGCGAGATGTCGCGTTGTTAGCGGCGAGTTCTCGTTGGCCCCAGGTTTGTCGGTAACGTTGGTTACCGTTACAACATAATACGTAATTTCAGGTACAGTTGTTTCTTCTACGTAATATCTATTTGTGACGCTAAAGAAAACTGCTTAGAGCATATGTGACTATACGCAGGATCAAAATGATAACCGTTATTATCACAACTCCATTATATCAATTGTAATAATTCTATTGTGTCAACGCTAATACGTTTTATATTTTTTTATGTAAAACTGTGATTTCAATTCACACTTCCAAAAAGCCATATTATTAGATATCAGGAGATAAAACAGCTATATTAATTAGCATTAGTTCATGCAGGAGGCCAATCATCTACCAGAGGGACTCCACTTGGGAAAAAAAAAGCTTCCCATCCCTCAATCAAAATCCTAACTTTCAATTCGTCCTTACCAGAAAAAGCAGTGCCCATCTCAAATCCCGGGGGCACATCTGCCTTGAACAGGCCCGGCTCCCGTTCCAGCCACTCGTTGAGCCAAGAGACGCACACGGCAGTCTTTTCTGTCACGCTGTTGCGGTTGTTGAGCTCCACTGTGTCGAGGGAGGGAGAGTTCCGGCCCTTCCGGTGAGCCATGGGCCACTCAACCTGTAAGAACAAAACGAGTAAAACAGACCAGGCAAAGAGATGAACTTTACAATCAACAACCATAAGAACCACATACCACATGGCAAACATAGCCAAGGGCCGGTATCTTCAGAGGGCTCTTGGTGGTAGGGTTCAGACCCACCCTTTTCAGCTCGGGCCACTTCTCTTCGGACACACCACCTCCGGCGCCACATCCATATAGCTTGAAAGTCTTGTTCATGGTTTGCCGTTTATTAGCGATCTTGTCCATGGCAGCGGCCTCCTTCTTCGCGTCCCCACCTGCCACAAAATAGTACAAGTCCTTGCACACACCAAGCCTGTAGTACTTTCGCACCATTAACGGAACCATATCTGCCCACTCAGGGTAGAACTGCATCTTAGCCGCCGGGCCCGCCGTCATCATCACGACGTACACGTGGAGCACGTTCTTCTGCGCTAGGGAACAAGGTATAACCGCACAGATGGGATTAATTAATATAAACACGTCAAGGCAAAGAATGTTAAAATGCAACAAACGTTAAGTAACGCAGCAGCATTAGACAAGATGGTCGGGATAGGGACCGCGACAAGACGCAGCAACAAACGGCAAGAAACGCACCTCGAGAAACGGCAAGAAACGGCAAGAAACGCACCGTGAAGACCTCGTCATCAGACAAGATGGTCGGGATATGGATCTTCCCGTCCACCTTTGGCAGCTTCTCCACGTCGATTTGTGGATCATCGAAATCCACAACTTCCACTCCGTCGATCGATTTCGATTGGAGCAAGCGAATCTTCGTGTGCAGCACAGAAACCTCCTCACGAAGCGCATCCCTTTCCTGCTCAACCTGGGTCAGTGACGCTTGGTTCTCATGCAGGATCGACATCGTGTTGTGCATATCATCGATCTCCGCGAGAAGGTACATCGTGGCATGATGAGCTCCGGGTACTGCCATCACGTACACACAACAACGATATGTGACAGAGTTGAATTTTAGGGATAGCACACACTGCTGTAAACCCAATAATAAATATTACTGTGTGTGCAAACACGAAACAGTGAAAAGCATGGGTAACAAGGGAGATGAGTAAGTTCAACACATTCAACGGCAATAACATACATGAACGCAGGAAAACATCATTTTAAGAGAGGAACCTTACGTGCAGTACGACGTCCCCGAGTCGGCAGGGCATCACCAGCAGCGACTTGCGTGTCGCCAGCGGGGGCTCCAGCGACGGCATGAGCGTTGCCAGCGGCCCCACCAGCGAATAGCTGCATGTTGCCGTCGGCGGCTCCTGCGACTGCATGAGCGTTGCCAGCGGTGGCGCCAGCGAAGAACTCCACGTTGCCGTCGGCGCCGGCAGCGTAGGCTTGAGCGTTGGCAGCCGCAGCTCCAGTGACGAACTGCCCGTTGCCGTCGGCGCCTCCAGCGTCTGCTTGCATGTCGCCCAAGGCAGCACCGGAGTAGGCTTGCAAGTTACCAACACCGCCTCCATCTTTTGCTTGCTCGTAGCCAGTCGCAACTTCTGCGTCACCACCCACCAGCACCGGCTCGAACGGTAGTTGCTTATAGCCTCCTCCATCTTCATCAATCTCATCATCTTCCTCCTCTGACGAGTCGCTTTCCTTGTCGTCCGCCTCGTTGCCACCCACGGACTGCCAGACCAGGCCTCCTCGCAATGCTTCAGAATTAGCAGGGAAGCTGACAAGTTGACCATGGAGACCCTCTATGGTTACGGTACCAGGTGCCTCTGCCGTCGGTGTCATCTCGCTCGGTCTCTGATGCGTGCCATGTGCAACATTACTAGGCTCTGGCTCAACTTGATAGCCTAAAGGACCAAGGGGCCTTCTCTTCACTGCCTTTCTTGCTGCTTTATGCTGCAGTAGGCGCTTCAGCAAGGCCTTTTCGGTAAGGCCTGGAGGAAGCTTGATTGCTGGTTCACTCGATTGCAAGAATGGTGAGGAGAGAGTGACCCCTGTAGGACCTCGAGGTGCTTGAACTCTTTTACCCTTTCCATCGCCTGCCCAAACCACTCCAGCACGTCTGAGCTCCTTTAGAATGATGAACGTTTTTGGAGTGTTTAGGGCCGTAGCAGCCCTTATAACCAAGGCGGGGATTGCCTTGGTGAGTGTATTGAACGCGATTAGAGATTTTAACAAGCTGACCGCGCGCAGCTTCTTGACTGTACCCATGGCTGGCGCTGTGGCAGAGACTGGTCGGTAGAAGCACGCCATTTTGGCAAGGGTGCGGTGGTGTTGCCTTGTCGCCAACGCATTCTCACAACACATTCCTGAACGTTCCGATTGGTCGCCCTTGCAGCGAGCGAGGATGTTTATGACTGCACAGAAGATAATGAACCAAGACAGCACAACTCAGAAACATTGTGATTGGTCGGCGAGCCAACATGGCATGGTTCTTCTCATTCGTGACGCGGCGTCGGCCACTAGGGCATTCTGATTGCGCCACACAATTGTGGGAGGCGAACCTGGACCTGATTTTAACGCAAGTGGTAATATGAGATCAGTCTTTGATAGTAACGTTAAAGCTATGGAAATACAGAACTTTATTTTCTTGGTGATAAATATGCAACTTATCAAATATAGTTGTTCTGTCCTACTAGTTTGGGTTTCCAAATAACTGTATCGGGGTTGTCGAACATGAACTCGACGCCGTGTACAAACGGAAGGCGAAGCTGTCAAGCCGAGGATGCTATTCCAAAGGTTCGGCATGAGCTCGTACGTGTTGACGTCAAATGGTCCGTCCACAATTGGACGAAGCCGACCTTGCAGTCTACGGTATTCTGCATGTAAGCGTGCCAGACATGTTCGCGCTACGTCGATCACTAAGATGTGCAGGTCGACGATGTCGATGATGAAGGTCCCGCACTCACTTGGTTGTGAATTCATCACCAGAAACTGTGCTACGACAGTATTGTACGAAACATGTCGTCGCATAATCGCCTAGCTGTCGTCCGATTGTTTTTTTTAACCACCATTTCTTCACACATTCAGGCAGTACCATCGATTACGTAGCCACAGGAACCGAGTTCAGCTAATTTGCACATCTGCGGAGCACGTGACGGTTGTCATCCGTTTGTTTTTCTTAAAGCTCAAGGCCCAAATTGCGGGCCGCGCTGAGCAAGATTTCTAATCTTGCCTTGCTGCTGTTTTGAGTTCTGTGAGTTGGCGACCTGCTGCTGTTTTGAGTACAGTGAGTTGGTGAGTGTAGGGTTACAGTCGGTACGAAGGAATCCGATTGGTCGTTGCCAAACCCAGTGCTCGAACTTCAAGTTTTCTTATTCTGCAATTTGGGACTCGAGGGCCCTAACAAGAAGTTGCCCGTAGGTTGGCTGACTCAGCGAAGTTTGCGAGAGATATCGTGAAATCAGCCAACCAAACCACCCGAACACCTGCTCGGGTTTGTGTTTGCCTCCCAAACCGCCCAGCCCTAAGCCTTCCGCAAGATTACTAATCTTGCGCAATTTGGGCCTAGAGCTTTAACACCATTTCTTCATGCATGATAGGCAGTACCATCAATTACCTAGCCACAGGATCTGAGTTCGGCTAATTCGCACAACTACGTACCACGTGACGCCTGTTTGAGGGTTTGAGGGCATGAAACTGTGCAAGGACATGCCAGATCGTAGCATGTCACCGTTTTAACATCTATTTTTTTGTATTAACACCATTTCTTCATACATTCAGGTGGCTGGATCGATTGACTATCCACAGGAACTGATTTCAGCTGATTCACACAACTACGCATCACGTGACGCTTGTTTGGTCGTTTGAGGGCGTGAAGATTTCCAAGGACAGGCCAGGTCGCAACATGTCACCGATTTGATGTCTGATTGTTTATTTTTGCGCCATTTCTTCACACACCCATGTCGTACAATCCATTGTTAGGCCATAAGACCTATTTTCGGCTCATACGCACAACTACGCAGCACGTGACGCTTGTTTTTGCGGTTGATGGCCTGAAACTGTGCAAGGATGGGCGAGATCGCAACATGAGACCGTTTTGTCGTCCGATTGTTTTTCCAAACACCATTTCTTCACACTTTCATGTAGTACCATTAATTACCGAGCCACAGGTACTGTTTATGGCTTGTTCGCACAACTACGCAGCACGTGACACTTGTTTGTGTGTTTGATGGCCCGAAACTGTGCAGCGATAGGACAGTACGTGACAAGACACCGTTTCATCGTCCGGTTGTTTTTTTAAGCACTATTTCTTCACACATTTAGGAGGTTCAATCAATTAACATGCCATAGGAACTAGTTTTCCCCCATTCGCTCAACTACGTTGCACGTGACGCTTGTTTGTGTGTTTGATGGCCTGAAACTGTGCAGCGATAGGATAGTACGCAACATGTCACCGTTTCATCGTGTGGTTGTTTTTAAGCACCATTTCTTCACATATTCAGGTAATTAGATCAATTACCTTGCCATAAGAACTAGTTTCACCTCATTCGCTCAACTACGCAGCACGTGATGCTTGTTTGTGTGTTCCATGGCCCGAAACTGTGCAAGGATAGGACAGCACGCAACATGTCATCGTCCCATGGTTTTCTAAAGCACCATTTCTTCACACGTTCATATTTTTAGATCAATTACCTTGCCATAGGAACTGGTTTGACCTCGTTCGCACAACTACGCAGCACGTGACGCTTGTTTGTGCGTTCGATGGCCTGAAAGAGTGCAAGGATAAGACAGTACGCAACATGTCACCGTTTCATCATCCCATGGTATTTTTAAGCACCAATTCTTCACACATTCAGATATTTAGATCAATTATCCTGCCACAGGAACTAGTTTGAGCTCATTCGCACAACTACGCAGCACGTGACGCTTGTTTGTGCGTTCGATGGCTTGAAACAAAGCAAGGATAGGACAGCACGCAACATGTCACCGTTTCATCGTCCCATGGTTTTTCAAAGCACCATTTCTTCACACATTCAGATATTTAGATCAATTACCTTGCCATAGGAACTAGTTTGAGCTCATTCGCACAACTACGCAGCACGTGACGCTTGTTTGTGCGTTCGATGGAATGAAACTGTGCAAGGATATGACAGCACGCAACATGGCACCATTTCATCATCCCATGGTTTTTTTAAGCACCATTTCTTCACATATTCAGATATGACGTTCTATTACTATGCCTTAGGAACTAGTTTGCCCTCATTCGCTCAACTACATCGCACGTGACGCTTGTTTGTGCGTTCGATGGCCTGAAAGTGTGCAGGGATAGGACAGTATGCAACGTGTCACCGTTTCATCGTCTGGTTGTTTTTCTAAGCACCAAGTATTCACACATTCAGGTAGTTCAATCAATTTCTTTGCACCGAATCGAGACGTGAGAGCATCGTGTAGGTATATAGTGCAGTGTATCACTCAGCGAACAATGCATAGTCTGGTTCAGGCATGGTACATGGCTTGGATAGTAACAGTACGAGTGGGCCTAGTCAGGGCCCAAGTAGGGTTCCAACTACGGCTATTGGGCAAGCAGATATGTGTTGTATGGGGAAAAATACATTCTAGGAGATAATTACATTCGTTTTGTGTAGCTAATTTCAAGTAGCCACCGTTTGACTTATCGGTGATCAACCAATTTGGCTTCGCAATTGTGATCATCCTCGATACAGCATGTATTTGCCCAGATCCGGAGTCGCGACATCGCTCGTTCCCGCCAGAACCCGTTCCTTGAGAGAATTACCGTGGCACGGGCTTCGGCACCGAGAATTTTTTATATCGCGAGGATTTTTTTTGTAAAACCTGAAACGCGATCGCGACACCTTTCATCACGCAAATTCCGCGCACGCGTCATTTAGACATTTATTAACAGGTCGAAATGGAGTTTCTGGGCTCGACATGTCAGAATGTTATTCTCTAGCCTGTAGTGGGGTGCTCTATAGCGAGTACAACCCATCTAGGGTTTGCTATATGTATCCTCATTGCTGCTAGTGAACCTCCTCTTTGCCTAAACTTTCTCTTGCCTAGCTAGGGTTCTCCTAGCTATGGCTCCTGCTTATGCTTACTCTTTTGACATGGTTTCAGAGCAGGTCCTTCACTAGGACTGTTCTTAGGGCCCACCGACTTACCTACCTGCTTACCTTCGCTTGTTTCCGGCCCCGCTGGCCCCGTCGATCTAGCACGATCTAGCGGCCCTGCGGCCCCGTCGAAATTTTTTTTTAGCGGCCTCTCACGGCCCCCGTCGCGTCGCCCCTTAGCGCCCCGATCGGCCCCGTCACGCCGCCCGCGAACCGCACAGCGCGCCGCGCTCACAGCCCGCGAACCGCCCGCGCACAGCCCGCGACCCGCCTGCGCAGCCCGCGACCAGCCCGCGCAGCCCGCGCACAGCCCGCGAACTGCCCGCGAGCAGCCCGCGACCTGCCCGCGAACCCCCGCGAGCCGCCCGCGACCCGCTTACGCAGCCCGCGAGCAGCCCGCGCAGCCCGCGCTGAGCCTGCGCGGCTCGTGCGCTGACCGCCGCCGGCCCGCACGCTGCCCGCACTGCTCCCGGCCCGCCGCTGCTGAGCCCGCAGCCGCCCGCGCACCGCCGCTGCTGAGCCCGCCGCCGCCCGCGCACCGCCGCTGCTGAGCCCGCCGCCGCCCGCGCACCGCCGCTGCTGAGCCCGCCGCCGCCCGCACACCGCCGCTGCTGAGCCCGCAGCCGCCCGCGCACCGCCGCTGCTGAGCCCGCCGCCGCCCGCGCACCGCCGCTGCTGAGCCCGCCGCCGCCCGCGCACCGCCGCTGCTGAGCCCGCCGCCGCCCGCGCACCGCCGCTGCTGCGCCCGCTGCCGCCCGCGTATCACCGCTGCTGAGCCCGCCCCTGCTACGCCGGCTCTCGCTGCCGCCTGCTGCGCCTGTGCACCACTGCAGATCCTACTACTACACTTCCTGCTACTGCTGCTTGTGCGCCACTACAGTCCGTAGGCCCCACCGGCCCTGCTGACCCAGCGCACGCCTGTTCAGTGACTTTACTGCTTCTACTACTGCCGCTGTCGCTATGGC